GAGTGGCTATCACAACACTATATCGGAGTGAGCGACTACACGTCTTGCAGGCCGAAAGCAAGTCTGAACAAATACGTGAACTCCTGCGGATACGTTCGGAGAAGCCGAAGGCGATAAGGCTTAGAACGCGGGGAGGAGTCGGACGAGAGCGGAGAGCGAGGCAAGAAACGTTAATAACGAAACTGAAGTACAGGATCGTAGAGTACGAGTATTTATACTAAGTGGTAAACATAAGGCATATGACCTCGCAGGGAGATCCGATGTGGTCCGCAGGATCTCCCTGCGGGTTAAGTACAAAGGCATAGTAAGTAAGGGGAACGAGAAGACATACACGAGGCAAAGGAAACAAGGCGAATGCCTAACAGATATAAGTAAACAAACCAAAGTCCAAATGGGTAAAGATCCGAGTTGATGGGCGGAGGGTCCGAACAGGTCCGAGAGAGTCTGCGTGCAGATTAACTGTTTGAAGGGAAACGCTCAGATACCTTCATCGCGTAAAAACCCTGTTGCGCTCCAAGGATAACCCTCGGAGCGTCCGAAGATGCACGGGTTATAACAATCACGGATATAGGGTCGGAAAGTTTTTTTCCAACCCTCCGGGGACCCCCCTCCTGCCATATAGGGTAATATGTTCCCACGATTAGCATCATGTGACCACTGATGCGATTAAAAATTAGCATAAAAAATTTAATCTTTGTGAAACTTTTTTTTTCAAAAAAAAAATTATGTATTTGTATATGTATGTGTGTAGGTATCTATATACCGGGAACCCTTAAATATACATGGCAGGCCATATCACTGTTCAATATGTTCACTTCTCATCCATTACCTAATGATAGGCCTGTGATAGGGTCCAGGCTCATGGGCCTGAAAGTATATAGATATAAGTATGAGAGTTGTGAACTATAGAAATTAGAGTGTATACACTATATTTTCAGTGTCTTTACACTCATATAAGGCCCAAATCTTTCATATACAAAAAGTTTTTTTTACCCCCCCGGGGACCCCCTCCCCCCTACCCCATGTGCCTGATAAGCATCTTGAACCCCCCTTGGAGTAAATGGTCTTACCTATGTCTGAATTTTTTGAAGACTGAAACAATGACCTGTCCACAAATTGCACCATGTTGGACCGACACATTATTAGACTCTCATGCTTCCTACACATGCAATCTTATCATGAACTTCACAGTAGTTCAAATAAAAGCATTGCAGAGGAGCATTGCTGTACTTTCTACTGCTCTATTAAATGGTAGTAAGAAACATACAGACATGAGAGAGGCTAATATCTAAAAACCCAGTTGCATTCATGTATCTAAATTGAAGCTGCGAGACAGTCTGCTCTTATCAGTGGATCCTTTGGATGTCAACGATTTATGTGGGAAAATGGAGAACCATCTTCCGACTCCTCACTGCATTACATTGAGGTTGGCGTTGCTCATCCCGTCGTGGGAGGTACCCAATACGTCACAACCAGAGGGAGAAACAGATAAGTGTCAACTGATCACAACAGTGGTGATTATTTACATACGTAGCATACTACAAGACACCTGTAAGTATGTAGACGGACCCCGCCTACGCTTTCCGATTCGGGACCACTGCGGTAATTCTATCCTATCCTATCCTATCCAATCCGCCATCTTTCCTCAGCAAATTCAGAATTCAAAATTCAAAATTGAAAACGAACCAAATTGATCTCGCCTACCGTAGTAGAGGGGAGGCGAGGTGGAGAGAGAAGATATAAAAAGGGTGTAGCAAATTATACTACTGTAGAATGCAGTATTCGATGTCGAAGTAGGAACGGTCTTTGAGAGAAAAGAAACAGCTTAGTGGAAGGTATGGTATGTGGGAAGATATCGAAACGGATATGATAACGTGCATGGATGGTATACTGGTTGCTAAGAGAGCCCAAGAACGGCTGGGGAAGGATTAGATGGGGGCTCGTCTAGTCGTCGAATAGACGGTTGTGGATGTACAACTCGGAACTCCTTATTCTGTTGCTTCGTTAAAATGAGACGAGTCAAAAAATGCAAGCATAGATATAAACGCACATAAATCAAGCTTGTCTTGCGTTTCCGTCATGGTGCTGCTCGCGAAAGAAGACGCTGACGACCTAAAACGGAATGAGTAACCTGAATCACAAGAGGGGAAGAAGAAAGGTTTTGCGCACCGCTCAGCATTCCAGCGTTGGCAGCAAGTATCTTGGCCATTTTTACGACTTCTGTGCTCCCAATACACACGCCGTTCTCTGGTCCCTCTTCCTTCGATATCAGATTCGATCCCAAGTCATCGTCATCCGTGAAATCGTATGGGAGTTTGTAAAGGAAATGGTGAAGGGGAGTATGCTGAGGTTCGTGACCTGGTTATTCGCAGGTCGTAGAAATCACTTCGCCTGCTAAAGGGTGAGGGGGGCAACCAATGATTACGCAAGTAGCACATACCTTAGGGTATCTGTTGCGCGGAAGAATCAGGGGGTTGCTTAACGTCCGCGTTCTGGAACTTTGAAAAAAGGAAAACAGTTAGTTAGACCCCGAAAGAGGATGAATGCGCACAGTTTCATTGACCACGATGACAAACAGTCTCGTGCTAAATCCACGACTATCCTCCCCTTCGTCCGGTTCGAAAGCATTGAGATGAAACCACCGTCAGATTCTGAAGAAGTATGAGAAAGGTTCATAACAGCAAAGATTAGGGAAACGCGCCTTGAATGTAGCCCTAATGTGATTCAACTGTGTGCTGGTTGTTGCGTCGATATGGAATAACTCTTGGGCATGATTATTAGCTCACTGTATTGAAATGTGGCAAGACAACGAATATGCACCTTTATGGTGAATACCAGTGTTGCAGAGGTCAGGTCAAGAGGTTGACCTGACCGGGGGGGTCAAGGGTCAGGTCAGGGTCAGACAACCTCGGGGTTGACCTTCGGAGGGGGTCAAGGTCTATATATGGAAATAACTACACAATTAAATATTCAAAACTAATATCACTTGTCACTTGTCACGGGTGACAAGACGTGCTTTCTTCTTCTGTTGTCTGCCTCTGGTGGTCAGCTGGCAAGTTTCCAAGTAAATGGCAGGGGGGACTTCAATAAATTACTTGCAGACTGCGTGTAAGGGCAACCCCGGAGGCCTGAGATCAAGGTCCTAGCAGGGGAGGATCCAAAGCGTGAACATTGGTAAGCGAATACAAATGAAGCTGACCTAGCAGGGGAGGATCCAAAGAGAAGAAACTCTAAGGGTCCGCCTGCTAGGTAGCTGACTATATACTGCTTGTCCGTAGCTGCCGCTGTCGGGCACAGAAGGCTTGGGCGGCGTCGCAGGCGAGGTCCCAGGGCGACCGTCGGGAGGGCGTTGACGGATCGGTGATTGTGCGGGCGAGATGGAGGGCCGGACCGGAGTCGGAACCGGAGTCGGACCAGAATCGGGCGCGTCTCCGGGCCGGAAGGGAGGTTCCCCTGACACTGCGAAGAAGATGCACCACTTCCTAATTCACAAGTTATCAATATTGAATAATGTGTACATAGTACTTTATGCCGTATAAATTATAATAATTTTTTTTGAACTGGCAAATTGCCCAGCAGCTTGACCCCTACCTGACCCGGGGGTCAGGTCAGGTCAACCTTGAGCCGGTTGACCATCGACCCTTGACCAGGGGACATGACCCCGGGTCAACGCAACACTGGTGAATACCAGTCGCTACCAGAAGCCTCGGCCCAACTGAATATAATTCATCGCGGTCGTGTTAAAGCTCGCTTTGCGGCCATAAGCATCGCTCGCAACGCTGGGTTCTGCTAGGAAACGCTCTACAATAGAATGAGACAAGGCCAATAACGGAAAAAAAAAGATAGACGCACGGGCGTTATGCCTAGAATATAGGTTGGGCCTGTATCTGCGTTGTCGACTCCATATACTCCGCATTGCTATGGTCGTGGTGGTTTCTAACGATGTTTTGATTGACCTCCGCCGAAGCTATTCTTCTCAGTGAGTGCTTTCGACATATATATGGTCGTGCAGAAATGCTTGGTGGCCATGGGACAGTGTCTCGCCTGGACAACGTCAGCTTGTCCTTACCAGACAAAAGCGAGGCTTAAATCACATACGAGACTTCGCCCTAATGTCTACTGCGACCCCGAAAGCAAAGAAGCTGAGTATTCGCACATGCGGTTGGAGTATTGGTGTCCCCCGAAACCGAGGGCGATACGGATGAGGATAAAGGGGTTCGCTGCTTGGGTCAGGAGGGGCAGATCGAGTCCGGAGAGGCTGCCGAGCTGACGACTGAGGAGGAGGACCACGGAAGAGTGAGCATCGACGGCAAAGGGATAGAAGGAGAAGACACACTGGGAGCACCAATGTCTGGGTGAAAATTTACGATCAGCCAAACTCGCTCTGAGGTGGAACGTGCAAAAAGGCGCATCCGGCCTCGTCCTGTGACGCATGCGCAAGGCAGTACCTCCTCCTCCTCGTCGCCTCATAGTTTCCGGAGCTGAGGTTGTCGTCGTCGTCGTCGTCAAGAAGAAAATTTTCCGGGATGATCCGGTTTGCACCGCCTTCCTTCACTTTCGTCCCTCACCCACAAACGACCCCAGATAGCTCTGCAAGGTGCTCTTAAGGGCTCGGACTCCAATAGCTACCTATTAATTGCATCGAAAGCAACCGACAGACACCTCTTCCCGGCGCCGCTCTCTTGACTTGACGGAAAAAAACTCCATTACATCCAATATCGATCGACTGGTCACGGTCTCCTGCCAAAATGTCTCGACTTATGCTCAACAATACATTGACGGTCGAATATAAAGATATCCCCACCGCCGGAACCTTCTCCTTCCCTCCCCTCTACCAGCGTCATGCGCCAAACGACGATATCCGCAAAGGCAGCAACTTGCGGTCCCAATTCAAATATGACTCATTGTGCTCTGACCAGCAATAACCGCCGCGCGTGACCGACCCTGTCACTGCTGTACTTTCTCTCCTCCTCCCCCCGTCGCCTTCGCGTCGTCCCATCATGATTCCCTACAATTTCTCCAGTGGCACCACTCAGGATCCCATGTCCGACCCCAATGCTGCACCTTCGGCTGCCGCATCATCATTTATGGTGACCAACGAGCCTGCGACGCGTAGAAGAGAAACTCAAGGTCTCACGAGGGAAGCAGCGGCTATCATGCCTTCCATCGACGCGGCCCACGCAACCTTCACTTCCCAACTTCAGGGTCTGACGCCCGCACCATTGCGTGTGGTGAACCGGCGCGCGCCCCGGACTCGACCTCTCAGAAGAGAAGCGGAGGCCTTCTTCCCCTTAGCCCCCTCCGCGCCACCCGTTCCCCCGCAGAACCACCAAGTTGAAGCTGGAGCTCCGAGTCCGAGTCAAGACTCACAATCATCCCCTCTAGTACCCGAACAATTGCCTTCGGCCGTAGCTGTCAATGATCATGCCACTCCAAATCGTCCACAACAAACACGAGGGCTCGAGAGAGAATCCGGGATGTTGACTCCCTCCCTCCATTCAGCATCGTCGGCTTCGCGCCTGCCCCAAATGCCACCTCCGCAACAGCAGAACGCGGCTGGCAGCTCCCATGCACACCCTTTCACCACGGCGACTACGTCATCTTCTGTTGTTCCCAACGAACTACCCTCGGCGCCGAGTGGTCGAGGCCTCGCAAGAGAGGCGGGGTTGTACCTCCCGGACACTTCGACGCCTCCAGCGCCGCCGACCCCGGCCGCGATCCTCCATATCGCACGGATAAAGTTCCAGGGCCAGCCCGGAGGCCGCCGCGTCCGGCTCATCTCATTGCCCCAGCTGGCTCCTCCGGCCGAGACAAAAAAGCACATTCCGCGCATTGTCGCGCGGGGCGGCGCCGATGTACCGGGCTCGGAGGCGTGCAACGCCGTTCACGCCTACGTCCATTCGAACTTGAAGTGGCAGAAAAGGCCGCCCTATAACTCCGGCATGGCGTATTTAGCCAAGGGAAGGGTTAATCGCCGGAAAAATCCAGTGCCACCCACATCGCAGTCGACGCCGGCGGCAGGCCCTTCGTCTGGCACGCTGCCTAGCCCGGCGCCCCCGCCGGTATCCTTTGCCTTCCCATCAGCTTCGAGCGCGAATGAAATTGCGGAACGGGAAGCAATCCTGCGTTCGAACTTGGTGTCGCAGCGCAGTGGGAATGCTGACCGTACCAGTGGAGCGCCCCTGGCTTCGAGCGGCATTTCCAACATCCCATCTCATCGACCTCTCTCGTCATCGGCCTCTCGACTCAGTCTCATGCAGGCAATCAAACAGCCTTACGGACAGACCGAGGCTTCGCGGCCGAGCACTTCCAGCGGTGCCCGAAGCGACGAGAATGGCCACCGTCTTCCCTTCGCGCGGACACCCACGACTGGCACAACTGCAACAGAAGTCGACGCAAATGCAGAGGAGCTTAAAGAAGACCTACCGATGAGCGACGCTCCACCATCGGCGGACGCGAATTTGAAACGGAAGCGGGAAGGAGAGGAGATTGAGGAGGGCGACTCCCCGCGCCGGGCGGGACGGAAGATCCCTCGTTTCGGTCGATGATGCGATCTGTCACGTATATAGACTACGTGGACATTTAACACTGTCATGTACGATATAAGACTACTTTGTGATGAGAAATGCTGGGATGTTGAGCGTCAATTGGTACTGAGCTGCGGACTGGAGGGGGCATTTGGCTCACAGCGCATGGGCTTATAGTGTAGTTGGTTTATCACGCTCGCTTTGCAAGGCCTTTGCGAGAGGTGCTGGGTTCAATTCCCAGTGAGTCCACTGTTTTGCAGTTTTCTCTTATTTGCTGTCTTTTTCCGTGCAGAGTGAGGTGTCCGGTCCATCGTCCTCGCAGTTGTCCCCACTCCCCCCGCTGTTGATCAAGAGCTTACACTCCTCATCACAGATCGTGGACTAATCACTAGAGCTTTTCAAACTGTCTACCTCACAACTTTCTGTCTAAGTACGGCGTTCCTGCGGGCTTCACGCTTCTCTTCGAAGTCCTCAGGTGCAGTGGATTGCGACGGCGAGGTTGCCCTCGGGGCAGTACGTGCGGCTGACCGGCGGGCCGGGGAGCTCCGCGTTGAGCGCCGCGCTGCAAACACATCAGTCTCCCGCCCCTGCCTCTCCAGCTTCAATATCAATACGCACCAGTCGGTCGAGTTCGCGGGCGCCTCGGGGCAGTTCACGCCGAGCACGCCGAGGTCGCCCGCGCCGAAGATGCGGCTCGCGAGGGCCGCGACGACGAAGTAGTGCGTCTCGTCCTTGGTGAACGTCTGCGCGCAGCACACGGGCGTGATCGCGCCGGGCGGGCCCGCGAGCGGCGGGAGCGGCGGGAAGCCGGACGGGAGCGGCGGGAGGGGCGGGAGGGGCGGGAAGCCGGACGGGAGAGGCGGGAGCGGCGGGGGGCCGGACGGGAGCGGCGGGGCGCTGGACGGGAGCGGCGGGGAGCCGGACGGGAGCTGGCGCCGCGCGGCGGCCGCGCCGTTGGGGGCGGCGCTCGCGAGGGTCTGTGGGTGGTCAGCGGCCGGTAGTGACAAGGGGAGGCTGGGGGGCGGGCACCGCGAGGAGGACGGAGGCTACGAGGGCGAGCTTGGGGAACATTTGTTTGTGCAAGCGGTGTAAAGCAAGTCGGGGGCGGTTTGCTGGGGCAGAGCTGGGCCCGCGCGCGCCTTTTATCGCGGGCAGAGGCAGGGCAGCCGCAACGGGCTAGTGGGTAGGGAGCAGCATGAGATGGTTGCGCGGGCTAGAAGGGGTGACAAGGATTGGGGGTCGTGCTGGGAGCGAGCAAGGCGCGCCACGACGCCACCTGGCCGCGGCGAGAGACTGGAGCCTGAGCTGGGGACCTGAGGCTCCAGGACTGGGAAGACGTCCCGTTTTTCGCGTCGAATGGTGCGGCGCAGGAGGGCCATCGAGGCCGCATATCGGTCGTCGGCCGAAGACGCAAACAGGACAATACGACGATGCACAACCCGGGCTGGTGCTAAGTATCGGGCTAAATACTGGTGCTGTGGGCAAATACTGCAGTAATACTGACGGTGTGACGCTGACATCACCAAATATCCGTTTTGGGATGGGGTTTGATCCTCCGTGATTCTCGGAGGCCCGCGTTCAAGTACACTTTTGCCCGATTTTTCTGTTGTATTTTTGTAACAATAATTGATTCAAGTGGGGCTTTGTGCTGGACTTAGCTTATCTACTATAACTGTACCATGAACCTTGGCTTGCTCCATAATTTATTTACTTCTGGAACAGCACAAGGCATCAAATAGACATAATAATGTATGTTTGGGAGTAAATAATTTAATATCTGGTCTAGAGAGCAGGGAGCCTGTTGAAGCTATACTCTTGGACCATGCTCCCAACCACTTACCTCTCTGTAGGTGAGCAGAGCTGCTGCCCTACTGTTTGATGGGTATGGCGTGACGACAACGTGACGGGCATCGGACCGGGGAACAGCCGGCCAGAAAAACCCGATTTGGGTTCAGTATTTGCCATCAACGGGTGCCGCGCGGCAAAAATATTCAAAAATGGCAATGTTGACAGTATTCTGTGATATTCACATGAGATGTGTGACAGATCAAACTGCTCGCCGCAGGCGCCGCTCAGAGAAATTCACTCTTGAGAGAGGCTTGTTTTGCATGTAAAAACAGTAGGAATACAATGCAGATATCTATTTAAATCCCTCTCTTTTCCTTTCCTCCCTCCTTCCTTTTTAGGAATTTTTATTTTTCTTCTTTCGGCTGCCCACAACACCAGTATTTTGCCAAGTATCGGGTCCGAGGACTAGTTTCTTGAGTGCGTCATCATTGACGCGCTTGTGCGCGCCGAAGGCGTGTGGGTGATAGCAGGTGATAGCTTAAAGAGGGCGAGGCACGTCACACCGGCAATCACGGCATGCCGTGACGATCCTCCCGATCGCCCATCCCGCCAAGCGCGCGTGCACCGCCAAGACGAGGGCCAACTCAGGCGCGGTCGCAGGCTGCCGGCAGGACTGCGGACGATCCCACGTGCGCGCACCGCCCCGCGCACCGTCCGGGACATATTTATACGCGCCCCGCCCACCCAGCCCGGTACTTATCGCAGCCCCCATGCTCCACCTCGCCCTCTCCGCCGTCCTCCTCGCGCTCAGCAGCGTCCACGCCCAGGTATGTGACGTCCCCCGTGCCCCCCGCGCCATCGGCCGACCCCCCCCACCGCAGACGCCGTCCCCCGCGGCGAGCACGTTCCCGCCGTCGAAGGGGTACGACTGCGAGACGGACCCCGCGCAGCTCGCGCCGATCATCGGGCTCTCGCTCGGCGGGTTCATCGGCCTCGCCGTCCTCGCCGCCGAGGCGCTCGTGTACGTCCGCAAGGGCCGCCGCCTCCGCGCGCTCGCCGCCTCCGCCGCCGTCCTCCGCCAGGAGCTCGCGCACCTCCGCGCTAATAAATGAATAAATAACTAAATAACTTTGAGGAGGAGGATAGTCTACGCGGTGTACTAATACATAATATTGGCGTGGCCCCAACGTGGCCCGCTGCTTACTCATCCATCCCGTCTTCGCCTCCGCCCTCCGCGCTGTCTCGCCAAGCCGTGCGTGTTCGCCGCACCTGCCCGCGCAGGAGTGGCGTTCGCGAAGGTGCGTGGCGGTGTAACGAGTGGTACACGGACTTACAGCATGCGGCATGCCGCCAGTGTGCAAGACGGGACGGGGCGTATGGCGCCAGGTACCTTGTCCAGCCTGCATTCCTTAATCAAGGACGCGTCGTCATCGCCAGCCTGAGCCACCGTGCCCGAAGCTGCCCCACAGAGGATATGCCCCGGGCCCTTGGTCCTAGGGCTTGGTTTATATAGGGGTGTTTGTAAACCGGTTTATAAACACCCCTGTTTTATATGTTTATAAACAGGTATTCTGGGAAGAGGGTGTTTGTAAACAATGTGACACTAGTGTGACCGTCAGCCAACATGTGACATCTCTGCCATCAAAAGTATTCTACCACATAAAATTTAGCTGAGATAGTAGATATTGAAGGGAAACTTCTGGGCCTCACCTGGGACTACTATTAGTAGTATTTCAGCTTGACAAATATATGAAAATCATATGGCGCGAGGCGCAGTTGGGCTCGTTAGCCTGAAGTGTTTATAAAACCTAAAAACCGGTTTATAAACAGGGTTTTGGGGAGATTTTTTTACAAACCGTTTGTTAAGGCCAAAAATTTTATAAAACCAAGCCCTACTTGGTCCGGCGCTGGAACTCGGCCCTTGTTCTCGCCGTTGCTCTATTCCCCTCCGGGCCAGCACCCTATCTTCCTCTTTTAGCCCTCTCCCGCCAAACTACGCGTCTTGGGGCGTTAAGATCGGGCTACAACGGCGGACTTATTCTTCTGTCGCATCTGTCGGTCCTTGCACATCGTGAATACAGCGCAGGCAATATTAAATACACCACGTGTGCATGCTAAGTATACTCGTCGGCTCCAACTTGTCTTTCAAATTATCATCCCCCTCCTACTGTTTGGCCGCGCCCGCGCCCGCGCCGCGGAGCTGCGCGATCTCCTGCTGGAGGGCGGCGACGTCGGCGTGGGCGGCGCGCACGCGGCGCTGGCGGGCGCAGAGGAAGCCGCCAAATACGGCCACGATGACGGCCAGCAGCGACGTGAGCGCGATGCCCGCGTAGATCCCGGCGATGGCGCCCTCGGCCTCGGTGCAGATGTCGTGCAGGAACGAGCGGGGCGCGAGGCGGGGGCGGCGCGGGCTGGGCGGGGGCGTCAGTGGCAGCGGGGAGGGGGGAATATGGGGGACGCACCAGGGCAGTAGCGATGGAGAGGAAGAAGGCAAACACGAGCACGTGGAGCATGGCGGGTCGTGGGTAGACAATTGGTGGGCCGCAAGCTGCGGGGCGGGGCATATAAATGCGCTGCGCGCGCCGCCAAGCGACGCGGATCCGCGGTGCTGGTGCAGGGCCACAGGGACGGCGGGTGCCACGGGCGAGCGCGCCAAGCCCCGTCCGCGGGCGGCGGGCACGTGGATCCTGGCCTCGGGTGACGCAGATGGGGCAGGCTATGGGAGCCGCAGCACCACCCTCCGCAGCACAGCGCCTTCTGCAGGGCAGGGACCGTGGCTAGCAAAGGCGCAGCGAGGAGAGCGAGGCATTGCTTCCGGCAGCTGATGTCACTCATCGCCACGCCGCTGCCTTCTTCCCAGCTTCTTCCCAAGCTTGTTCCCGACGGGAGGACCGTCCGGACATTTTTGGCATTTTTGGCGCGAGAAACTTGAAACCCGACAACCCATGTCCGATGCCAGTTCTCAAGGGGGTCCCAAGATCCTTATCACGGACATGAGGTAGGGGGGGGCCAGGGGGTGGTGAAAAAAACTTTTGCTATACAAAAGTTTGGGGGGGTTCTGGCAGATATGTCATTGCTCATTGATTACAAATAGCCATGGATGGTCCACTAGTGACTCTATAAGGCCTCAAGACCTATATATTGCTCATAAGTAAGAGGAAATTACTGAATGTGACTCAAAATGTGTATTTTATCGGCACTTTTGATCGCATCAACAGGTCACATGATGTGCG